AATCACGGTAGTCTAAATATTCAGATGTGGTCATATGATTCAGCTAGCAGACTGAACATTTATGTTAGTTATGTATTCTTATTATTCTGTCTGAGTATTCTGTTGGGATGTAGCAAAGTCGCGCCTATCATTTACAACCTCCATAAACATAGAAGATTATTTTAGTAATTGATAGCACATGTACTACGTGTCTTACTGAAGATTTACCTGATCATTCTCTACGCATATTTCTCAGCTGCGCTGCATCACCAGTATTATGTTCTCCAATATAATATGAAGTGTCCTCACTTCCGTGTAATCTGGGCAATTGTTTATTGTAAGGTATATTGTCAGTAAGGTTTATGTAATTATTAATTCACATGATTTTCATATGTATTTAACCGCCTCCGTGGTGTAGTGGTTAGAGCGTCCGCCCGGAGAGCGGAAGGTCGCGGGTTCGATGCCCGACCGCGTCATACCAAAAGACGTTAAAATATGGTACTTGTTGGTCCCTGCCTGGCGCTCGGCATTAATGGGTACAACAAGGACTGGTCGGCTCGTAGTCAGGATAATGTGTCTGAGTGGGGTATTCATGCTTCACTGCGGCATGGTATCTCAGTGAGCTAGCACTATAAAACCAGCTTAAGTCTGGGCTCGTACAAGCAGCCGCACATACACATACATACGCATGAACGTCGTCATATGAGCGAAATATTCTCAAGCACGACGATAAACCCAATTTCACCTCACCTCACTTGTTGGTCTCTGTCTGGCGCTCGGCATTAATGGGTACAACAAGGACTGGTCGGCTCAGAGTCAGTATAATGTGTCTGAGTGGGGTATTCATGCTTCACTGCGGCATGGTATCTCAGTGGGCTAGCACTATAAAACCAGCTTCAGTCTGGGCTAGTACAAGCAGCCGCACATACACATACACACGAATACTCGTCATCATATGAGCGAAATATACTCAAGTACGACGTAAAACCCAATTTCACCTCACCTCTAAATGCCTTTCAAGAACATCATATACTTACATGTATGTATCCTCTACGTACAGTGTATATAGTAAATAGAGAATACTAAACGATCGATGTCCCGTGTAATACCATATTTTTGAAACGAGTGAATGGTTTGATATCTAACAAGCGAGAGCGAGTAAGATACCGATACCATTCACGAGTTTCATAAATATGGTATTACATGGGACACAGTTTAGTATTTTATTTATTACTCGCCCAACATGAGCAAAATAATATCGAGCACAGTACTTCTTTCCAGAGAATCCAACGAGTGTGATGACCCTCAGCTTTCCGCGAGTCCAGCAAGGTCTATAATAATACTATTGTGACACAGGTCATAGCATTGTGACGTCATAACTGTAAACGGGCGGTGGGGTAGCCTAGTGGTCAAAGCGTTGGCTCGTCACGCCGAAGACCCGGGTTCGAATCCCCACATGGGCACAATGTGTGAAGCCCATTTCTGGTGTCCCCCGCCGTGATGTTGCTGGAATATTGCTAAAAGTGGCGTAAAACTAAACTCAGTCAGTCAGTCGTCACACCGAAGACCCGGGTTCGAATCCCAACATGGGTACAATGTGTGAAGCCAATTTCTGGTGTCCCCCGCCGTGATGTTGCTGGAATATTGCTAAAGGCGGCGTAAAACCAAACTCAGTCAGTCAGTCAGTCAGTCATAACTGTAAACCAGTTTTATGTCATACGTACGGCACCACGTGATGTTATTACACAATGTGTAATAACATTGTAAAATTATTAAACAGTGATATCTTCAACGGGTGAGTAATATAATTTTTTTTTAGACTGTGGGCTAAGTTCTCTTCCAGCGGACACATATTAACATGTAGTGAATAGCGGATCTTAATATTTATGCATGTGACCTTTGACCGATTGTGAATTGACAGTTATTAATTTATCTTATTATAGGATATTTATACAGCACACATATTCACGCAACTTGTACATGCCCAGGGCGCTGGAGTGTTCCCTTGATCAACTCATTTTCTGGCATTGTTTTAACCATCTCAACTCCCTGGGGAGTATTCAACTATGCAGCCTCTTCCTCACAATGTGAACTGACAGTTAGGAATCATGGTCGGGATCCGACCATTCACTCCTTGATTTACCGGCTCCGGACCAGGCGTTACGGTTCTGTGGTACTTATCCTTCACTGACCTTTTACCATATGGTCTCTGCTTTTACAGACACACACACGAAACAAGTTGTCATAAGTACTTATGACAAAGGTAACAAGTATATCTAAATGTAATCTACGTATGTATATATATATCGTCTACGTATATGTTTTGTTTGTTGTTTAACTCCACACTCAGCAATGTACCAAATGTGATACGATGTCATGTGTCAACTAAGTCACGGGCCAGGGTCCCGTTCCTCAAAGCGCCGTAACTCTAAGATGATCGTAACTCCCATACTTTAACATAGACTTAGGACAGTCGTAGCGCTACGATCGCTTTGAGGAACGGGGCCCTGATCACCCAATCCCGTTTTTCGTCATTTACGACAAGCATGGGATGCTGAAGACCACTTCTAACCACAGGGGTTCGAATCACTGTTTGGACAATGATTTATAAAAATAAAAATCTAGACTTTTGCAATCGTATATTGTTTTGATATGTTATGATTAACGTATGTTCCAAATTTCAACGAAATCGGTGAAGAAATGATGTTTTTAGAAAATTCTACCGCTCCACTCATGACGTAAAATGTTTTTTAGAAACTTCTACCGCTACACTCATTACATAAAATTTTATGGAATGCGTGTAGTTATTATTATTTCTATAAATGTTTCAGGGTGAATTATCGACGAATAAATGGTCCTTTGTGCAATCATCATCATCATCATTACACATTTGTAATGCGCTGGTATCCATGCAGTCCATGCTCAAAGCGCAGATAACAAATTACACAGTTATAGTTGAAAAGGCTGTCCTGAACAAATATGTTTTTAACTGGGATTTGAAAGTGACAAAGTCAGTACAGTCCCTGAGATTCTATGGAAGTTTGTTCCAGGCCACTGGTGCTGCATAGGCAAAGGATCTGTTTCCATACTGCACTGTTCTAGTTTTAGGGACAAGAAGAAGACATTTACATACTGTGAACGGAGCGAACGAGAAGGCTTGTACAGAGAAAGAAGACTGGATAAATATGTTGGGGCAGTTCCACACAGACAGCGGAAGACCAGGCAGAGAAGTTTAAACTCAATTCTGAAATCCACGGGCAGCCAGTGTAGAAAGTATAGAAGAGGAGTGATATGGTCATTCTTCCTGGATCTTGTCACCACAATGCGTGTTGCTACATTCTGGACTCTTTGTAGCTTTCGTATCTGAGACTTGGTTGCACCGGCCAACAGACAGTTGCAATAGTCAAGTCTGCTCATGACAAGGGATAGAACAAGAGTTGTTGCTGTTTCAGTTGTCAGGTATTGACGGATATTGCCAATGTTCCGGAGTGAGATGAAGCAGGTCTCAACTAGATTAGAGACATGATTGTCAAGTGACAAATTTGAGTCTAGGATTACACCAAGATCTCTGACATGATCTGCGAAAGGAATATGTGAGATGTCGAACTCGAAGGAATCAATAGCACACAGATCCCTCCGTTTCACTGGACCCAGGAGAATAGATTCCGTCTGCTGCTATTCAATTTTAGTTTATTTACTAGCATCCAGGATTTGATACTGACACAGCATTGGGACATGTCTCTTGAGGCAATATCTGTTTGGTCGTTGTCAGGAGTGAAGCATCTGTAAGCCTGTGCATCATCTGCATAGTGATGACGATTCATACGGTACTCATCACTTACGCTTCCGAGCTCTGTTATGTACAATGTGAACAGGACTGGTCCTAGGACCGACCCCTGTGGAACACCATACTTGATGCTGGCCGAGTCAGAGTAATGACCATCCATGATGACGGTCTGAACACGACCCGACAGATACGACTGGAACCAAGTAAGAGCTGTTCAGTTAATCGAGAAATCACACCTGAGACGATGAATGAGTTTGTCATGGTCGATGGTATCAAAGGCACTGCTGAAATCGAGAAGGGTTAATATACCAACTTTGTGTTTATCAACACCACGCCTCAGATCATCAAGGACCTTGACTAGTGCCGTCTCAGTGCTGTGATGACCACGATATGCAGACTGGAGATTGTCATACAAGTCGTGTTGTTGGAGATGTTCTGACAGTCTAACACACACTGCACGTTCTATGAGCTTGGAGACATAGGTGAGGTTAGAAACCGGTCTATAATTGCTAAATTCATCACAATCCAGGTTTGACTTTTCAGCAATGGTTTTATAAGTGCTGATTTGAACACATGAGGCATTTCACCAGATTCAAGGCTCGTGTTGATGATAAACGTCAAGACTGGGAGAAGGACGTCAAGGTTGTTTAACAGCACGGACGTTGGTAAAGGATCGAGAGCACATGATGTGGGTTTACATCTCTTGATCAGCTTGAGTACTTCCTCCTCACTGAAAGATCTGAATTTAGTGAGCTTCTGCTGATTATAAACACTACTGTCACTGGACCGACTGATAGTTTCAAGATCAACTTCACTAGGGTCAGACACAGACATGTTTCCATCTGTCATAGAGTCACGGATCAATAGCTCACACCCGTAGCGTGTATTTGTCGTTGTGTTACGTTCACTGCCCTGCTACACTTAAATTAAAAAAAGTTGGAATTGATATTATTTTTTACAGATTTATGCAAAGAATTGTCATTTGGATATATTTTGACATTAATTAATCTTAACATGGCTTCCAAACATTTATGGCGGGAAGACTGGGTTACTTGTTGACTTGTATACATTCTTACTTCTCTGCCGGAATGAGATTGACACACTCCTACAAGCTCTCCGCAGCGAATTGCCGTAGTCTAGTAGCCCAAAAAGCATTGTCCAGAGGGTATCATCTGGTAGCATGCACAGTTGTGGAGCTGGGTCACAGCGGATACGAAACTACATCAAGTGGAGCTATTCCAAGATGGCGGGCCGAGGCTGGGGAAGGGGAAGAGGACTTCTATCAAGCAACGTGACTGCAGTCGCTCCCGGAAGTGGAGATTACCAGGTTTCGTAAAAGAATTTAACTCTGTTTTATGTACCTTTCATTTGTTATCGATGTATCATTCATTGGATCAATCGGCACATGCTACCGGCATGGGCTTTGTTCGGTTTTCGATCAGATCATTTCTTTGTTTATCATTCTGGACTCTCGTATGAACTGAATAGTGTTTTTATGATGTGATTGCCGATGTCTGTTAAGTGGATTTTCTCTTTGTTTAAGTCGTGGCGAATTGGAATCCGTTTTTATAACCACTATGATCATCATACTGATGATGATGATCATTATTTTACCAGCTGTTTACAAAACAAGAGTGAAGTTTGCTGGTCGCACGTTATCTCAGCGCTTCATACTCAGACTTCTGGGTCTGGCTTCACAGATCTCAGGTGGGGTACCCATACAGTTTGAGCGTCAACTCGCTATGCTGAAGACCTGGGTTCAATTCCCAACATTTCTGGTGTTCCCCCCTGTGATATTGCTGGAATAATTGCTAAAAGTAAAGCTGAAGGGGTCGTTGTCGGCACAGGTACTACAGATACATACCCCAGGTACCTTTCTGTATGCAGATATGTACCCTAAACAAAGTCAAAATACAGAAACGTACCCGGTACCCTAAAAGGCGGACGAGTCCATATTCCGCAATCCAAAAGCGAAACCGTATGTAGTTGTTCCCGTTCAACTGATTCCGAGTGGTATTCATGTGCATCGCAAAATATCTGTTACTGTGTATTCTCATTACTTACATAACGCAATCAAATGTATCTAATACAACAGTATGACAGTTCCGGTCAATAATACGACACAATGGGAATGGAATCGTCCTAGGGTACGTTTCTGTATTCTCATTATGGCCAAGGTACGTTTCTGTATACAGAAACGTACCTGGGGTACATATCTGTAGTACCCGTGCCGACAACGACCCCTTCAGCAAAAGTAAAAGCGCCGTGAAACCATACTCACTCACTCACAGGTCTCTGGTACCTATTTGATCTTTAGGGTTGGATATGTTAGTCAATAGTGTTAACGTAGGTTGCACTCAATGCTATCCTCATCCCATGGATCCCCTTCCAGATCGTTACAGAACCGTAGCCTAAATTCGTGGATCGCAGTAATTATTTTCTATCTGTGTAATCAAATCTGGTACCGTATGACGTCATGAAACAGTACCTTTGATGTACACACATTGCCTCGCCTCGCTGACAAAATGTTCTGAACCTCTGCATTACACTGAGATAAATAGCCCAAGATGCCTCATACCAAATTTTAGGTTTACAAAATGTCATGTAAAAAGAGATACTGTTAGCACCAGCCTTCTCACATCTCGTCGTCTGCTTTCCTAGATGTCAATAAACAATAAGTCACGTGACGTAAGGTGATGTCCTCTGTCAGAATTTTGAAAAACAAATGTTTCAATCATGAGTGAAATATTGGTCATTTTCAATTTGCTGAATCAATGAATAAAATAATCAGTGAGTATACAAATGTTAGAGGTACCCTCTCCGATTAAACATCCCCTCACAATCTTTTGGGTTGGGCACAACTTACCAATCAAACACCCCTTGACGATCCTCAGGCACCCATTTACGATCAATAGGGTAACTTGTGAGATAGTGTATGGATCAGCTACCCTTTTCAGCGAATAACTCCCAACACAATTTACAGAAATTCAATACATTTGAATCAACTTTCAATATTTGAGGAGAAAATGGCTGCATGCGCAGAAAGCTAAACAATCTGGTGCACGAGCATGGATTATTTGTGATAGAGTCCGTAGTCCTGGAGTAGGACTTGGTTTCAAGTTGTTGATTTTTGGGTCGGCAATAAAATTAGGGTCGGTCAGGCAATGAGAAACACAGAAAATATAAATGCTGCCCTATATTACAGTAATCGATCAGGATTAAATGGTTGACCATCCATGGGTAATTTTTCTTCCCCGAACATGTGTCCAAACATCATTTCAGGTAGATTTCAGATAAATATCATGTGGAGTAACATTGACTGGACCAAACATCTCTAGTCATGTGGCTGAGGATGCAGACTGTTATCGCGTTTTTGTGTGACATGCAGAATTTCTCTGTCTGTAATCAGCAGTCACGCGAATGAGTAACCCCCTCTCAGGTAGTCACTTGTACGCGTAACGGGGGACCGTCTCGCGTACACGTTTCCTCCTGTACTGGTTATAACATTTAAGAACAATGCAGCCTTGTTTTGTGACAGCATTAGTTTGTTTGGTATCTTTCGAAGTTTCATAATCTACTTAAAACATATGTTCAAACCAATCAATAGCTGTCTCATATCAGTATAGAGCGTCTGCCCAGAGAGTGGAAGGTCACGGGTTCGATCCCCGACCGCGTCGTACCAGAAAACGTTAAAATATGGTACTTGTTGGTCCCTGCCTGGCTCTCGGCATTAATGGGTACAACAAGGACTGGTCGGCTCAGAGTCAGTATAACGTGTCTGAGTGGGGTATTCATGCTTCACTGTGGCGTGGTATCTCAGTGAGCTAGCACTATAAAACCAGATTCAGTCTGGGCTAGTACAAGCAGCCGCACATACACACGCATGCACGTCGTCATATGAGTGAAATATTCTCAAGGACGACGTAAAACCCAATTTCACCTCACCTCACCTCATATCAGTAAACAAATGAAACTAATGTACAAAATATGTTTAATGGTCAATCACCTCCAGCTATGTAAATGAACTGTTCTCTTTTTCAGGCTCTTCTAGTCAAACTTGGTCATGTGAGTGTTATTTTATTTATTTTTGTTGAAACTTTTGTGTATATCCAGGCTAGTGTACTCCGGTACAGTGGCACATGTAAAATCACTTGCCCTGATAATTTTTCCACTATACCGGATGATTTTCTTGTTCAATCTTTACCCAAACAACATGATTAACATTGGAAAGTCAACTGGTTCGACTAGGCAGCATTTCCTGGGAGAACTCCCATTCGCTGTCTGGGCTGCGTGTAGAGGGGGCAAGGGCCCTGAGCTGATGATGAACCTTACCAGCCTGACTGTGCCAGGAACACCCGAACCCTCTCTGCTGTATTTTCATCTTTAATCTGTAAAACATAATAATAATAATCATCATAATGTCCATCATGTTACATGCTCTTATAGCCAGGAGTCCAGCGCTAGTAAGTGGCCATATTATTATCATTATTGTTGCTGTATTATTTTGGCAAGTAAATATTGGTATTAGAACATAAGTTTGTACAAGCTGATCTTACAAGACCGTAAGAAATTTTACTAGCCAGGGGCTACAGACCAGTGGATAAAGTCACAGGCTGAGTTTGCTCTGCTGTCAATAATGGTACTATGTGGTACAATTATGTTCCAGATTCGAACAGCCGAAGAAGAGAAGAACAAAGAACACAATGGCGATCAGAACGCCAAGTCACCATCACCCTCACCCTCCCCATCATTGTCAACAACGACCCTCAGCGACGTAGAGGAAGCGCTGCGTAGCCTACAACTGGATGCAGATGAGTCAGATCTGAAGAAAATCAACGAGCTGGCGACTGACGCCACCAAGAGTGGGGAGGACTTGAAGAAAGTTGCAGAGATGATATATAAGAAGTGCCTCGGTGACCGCGATTTCGCCAAGTCTGGTGCCATCATTTGTCACCTAATGGCTGGGATTGAAGTGGAAGGAACCAGGTTTAGAAACTGTATATTGTCACTACTGCAGAAAGATTTTAAAGGTACACATATTTTGTGTTTTGTCTGTTTGTTTGTTTAACGCCACACAAGCTACATGGTTGTGGTCTGTAAATAATCGAGTCTGGACCAGACAATTCCGTGATCAACATCATGAGCATTGATCTACACAAATGGGTTACTGAAGGCCAATTCTAACCCGGACCTTCATGGGTCTGTTTTATCCCTTATAGTCAAGCACAAAACACAACAGAAGCAAGTAGTGAAGTGAAGATCCGGGTTAGAATTGATCTTCAACAATCCATGCTCATCATAAGAGGTGACTAACGGGATCGGGTGACCAGGCTCGCTGACTTGGTTGACACATATCATCGGTTCCCAATTGTGCAGATCGATGCTCATGCCGTTGATCACTGGATTGTCTGGTCCAGACTCGACTACTTAGACCGCCACCATATAGCTGGAGTATTGCTTAGTGTGGCGTAAAACTAAACTCACTCACTCACTAAAGGGATAAAACAAGAGCTGATTGGCTTGGAGTTGGAGTCAGTATGCTGTAGGGCTGGCTATCGACACAGATGATAGATATTGATTATCATTAACTAACTGTTGATGAATCACCGATAAATATCGGAGAAGTACCTTTGAGCAAAAATGCCAACAAAGTCTGGAAGAACTGAACATGTTTCACATCACAAGTGAGTGCCAACATTTTTGGTTGCTAACAAAACCTAAACGTCCTAAACATAATTTGGAAGCATCCCAGAAATAACAACCTAACTTTGTGTATTGTGTGAGTTGGTGTTGGGAATTGGTTGAAATCTCACAATTGATGATTGTTTCATTACCAACGAACAATCATCGAAACAATTGGTCCAGGTTGTTATTGCAGATATGTATAACATGATGCAACTTGCTACTTTAAAGTGATGACTAATATATCATGAACATAAACTTCCCCGGAGTCTTCAAGAAATATTCAGTCATGGATTTTCAGTTAGTGAAGTGAGTTTTCTAAGAATTAAACACGTTTTCATGCCCTGACAACTTCAACGATATGTTCCATTGTCAAGTATTTCAAAGACTAAAACAGTAGTTCCAAAATCGTTTATGTTCGATTATGAGAAAATGTGATCGATTGCTTGGTCGTTTGGTCACTGCGATCAATCTTCGATTATTTCAATTAATCGGAACACCACTAGTGTGAGTAAATTTAAACTTTATTTTATCACAAAAGTTTGTATGATATTGTCAATAACATAATCTTCATATCATCATTAATGATTTTTCCTATTGACGATCATTTTATCCAACCCTAGTAGCTGTATCTGAGTCAGGTATCATGTTAAACTGTTGGGACCCGTGAAGATCCGGATTAGAATTGATCTTCAGCAACCCATGCTTGTCATAAGAGGTGACTAACGGGATCGGTGGTCAGGATCGCTGATGTGGTTGACACATGTCATCGTGTTCCAATTGTGTAGATTGATGCTCATGCTGTTGATCACTGGATTGTCTGGTCCAGACTTAATTATTTACTGACTGCCGCCATGTAGCTGGAATATTGCTGAGTGCGGCGTAAGACTTAACTGATTGTATGCTCGGATCGAAATAGTGCTTAATTTGTGTGCCACAGCACAGTAAATATTCAAATGGCATAAATGAATTTTTTTCTGTGTGCCCTGCGGCATGACTAAAATTATAGAAATGAAAATAACCAAAGTTCATTTAATGGAAAGTGTGATTCCTCTGATTCAAGACCTATATTAGCACCCTATCAAACAGTATATCGGTGGCGCTCTCAGTCTCACAGCTTAAAGTTAAAGGCTGGGGTTCAAATCTATACACAGATGGGGTGTGGCCTCCTTGCCTTGTCAAAGCTGTCTTTTGATACTAAGCAATGCAGTATTCAAGTACATTCCATGAAATATCACAAAATTGACTTACCGATTCAGGCTGATAAAAAGTCATGGTATAAAGAAGTATGTTATGAAGACTCACAGCAAAAAGTATGGATGCAGAGAGTCTACAAAACATACATATTGAAAAAATATTTCTCATTTTTAAATCCAGATTTGAATTTCCCACTGTGTCAGGTGGCCAGAGGAGGTGCGTTTCCATAGAAACAAGCCTTGGAGTGGGGGAAATGTTTCATTCAGGGTTTCATATTTCAGGCAGACTGGGACAATGCCCCCCTACCCCACTCCCCTGACACCATGCTGTGCAGGGCTGGGGTTGTACACTTATCTGATGCTGACATCTCTTTGCTGAAGATTGTATATTCAGAATAAGTAAAATTTGATGTTTTATATATGCTAATCTAATTAATCTCTTCAGTCATCAAATATGTAGTGAAAGGGTTGTTGGACATTTACTATAAGGCACATGTTTATTCTAGTAGTCAGGGCTACAGATAAGGGGCGTACAGGCGTAATGTACGCCTCAAAATCAATTAAGTACGACATAATATAAGATTTCAAGCGTATCGTGTACACACATAAATACATTCGTGATCGCCGTGAAGTTTCTTTTAAAAACACGATTTGACACATAAGGAAACCCCGACAGTAGGAATCCCTTACCATGCAACGATTTGCGTCACCATTTTTCGATAGGCTAAAAACTACACTGTTCCTATTTATATCCAGTCGGACCTGACATTTCGCGCATCACACTTGTCGCTCAGTTATTTCTCACGCGTCTTCAAATACAAATACATGGTTGGAAATAGTGATCGATGAATCGTCCAGACAAACCACATCAACTCGCTTAAACAAATACATGTCCGTACTCCTTAAAATTCTCAGTACACCTCCACTTGCAATATGATGTGTAAGTACACTCACACCCCCAAAAGTTATCTGGAGCCCTGAGTAGTAAATTCCAAGGTTAACCTTTGACATCGCCAGGCTCTTGCCAGGCACCCATAGCCCTTACAGCCTTGTCACTCACGGGCTGATAACATCTTCACTGCTGAGGAGTAGCAAATGGGAGACTATTTGGAAACCCACGGGAGGTTTGGAGGTTTGTGCCCGGCCTTTAACATGGGTGAATCCATTGGAATTCCAGGGATATCCTGTTTTGGATGATCACATAGTTTTTGGGGTTAGTTCATGGGTCAAGGACAAATGAAACTGAACTATTCTTGCAGTCTTAATAGTGTTCAAGAATTCCAGCTCTCAAATATACAGGATTAACTGATGTTTACTGATTTATTAAACAGTAAATTGAAATGTGAAAAGGTATGGGCATGCATATTTTCACAAGGGTATACAGGGTTCGAAATACCCCATATATTAGTGTGCCATGGCACGGTAATTATTGAAATGGCACGGCTAAAAAATGTTCTCGGTGCCCTTTTGATACACCTGATTTTTCAGAGACATAACTCACATTTAGTCATTTAATCCCCAAAACAATTATTTTTTTCCAAATTAAATAATACCATACGTATTTGAATGCTCATAAACCCATTTCTTTATTTAACAATAAATTTCAAATGATCATCATCATTGTCATTTTTTCTAAAAACGTGGGCATACTCAATTTCTGAAAGGCACACCTAAAATATTTGTCAGGTGCCCTAAGGCACACTTAGAAAAAAAAGTATTTCTATCCCTGGTATAAAAAAATTGTCGGAACCATGCATTTCTATACCTGGCATGGTGTGTCAGTGAGTCACATTGCCATATACATGATTTCTGGTGTCCCCTGCTGTGGTATTGCTGGAATATTGCTTAAAGCAGCGTAAAACCATACTCACTCACTCACTCACCATATACGTGAAATAGTCATTCTGTTACACCCTCATTATTCCAGACAAATACAGGTATACACATTGCCGGATAAGTGTAATAATCATCAATACTCAGGGGTGGAAATAACTTTAAAAATAAAATTGCTAGTGTACTCCGGTACAGTGGCACATGTGAAATCACTTGCCCTGAATTTTTTTCCACTATACCGGCCGTTTTTCTTGTTGAATTTTTTAAATAAACAACATAATTAACATTGGAAAGTCAACTGGACACCGGTACAGTGTGATATACGAATTTGCTTGCCTGACAGAAAAAAACACTGGACTCGGACGTCGGGCAATGGGTTATTTCCACCCCTGATACTCTGTAAACCTCTTTTCACCCACCTTGTGATCATCACAGATAAAGAAGAGATCAGAAAGACTTCATCTGTGAGATTCCTGGGTTTCCTGGCCACGCTGTGCCAAGTGTTCGACCACATGCGGACAGCGACGGGGGAGCTGTTCAAGCCGCTGGTCGGTCCCATCTGTGAGAGCATGGAGATGATCTTGGAGCAGGAGACGGACACCACGGCTGACGAGTGTGAATTCCTCACGTTGCAGGTGTGTATTGTACATTTAGATACATCCAGGGGTTTACCATGACTCACAGACATCTGGGTCTCGGGACCCCAAATTATTAGTTTTAATGTCAGTGTAGGAAAGATGTAGAAAATCTAGCCTGTCCACAGGACTGGCAGGTCAAATTTTTTACCAGTCCTGCCAAAATCTAGCCTGTCCTCCAAATATAAATAAAACACCTTCGGCAGTAAATATTCAAAAAGGTTATAATCATTATATATATGTCATTGGTTTGCTAAAATTGACCCGACATGAGGATGCACTAGATATTTTTTAACCCGTCCTCCACAAAATTCACCCGTCTCGGGCTATCTTTCCTACACTGTTAATGTCCTTGCAGGCAATTTGAGAGTCCTGTGAAGTAACAGTGTGGAGAACTGTACATTTTGATCATTACTTTCGAACCTGGAATGAATCATTGATAATCTGGACTGATGGCTGAAATGATGTACGTAACTGCTCTGAAAGAAACAGATAAACACAAAGTCAAAGATGTGTTGTGGGTACAAGTAATGTTGTGTGTCCTTCTGGACGCAGTTAATTTTTTTTATGTGTCCATTCTCTTCATTTGCGTGTACAGAACTCACATTTGTGCGTACATCTATATATCTCTGGGGTTCATCAAGATAGATGCAAGTGTGCATAATGCATTCAGCTACATCCATGTACATCTGGGATTTATCTGGAACATTGCATGTGTATACTTGCACTTGTGTCTCATCAGGAAGTGTCTCTGATCGTCATAATCTGACAATGGCAAAGCATGTACCCACTTTGTTCAACTCTGAGTTATACACCCATGGAGATCTGGGTTAGTTTGATCTTCAGTAACCCATGCTTGAGGTAACAGGCGACTGACGGAATCTGGGGGCCAGCATCGCTGACTTGGTTGACACATCGTTTCCAAACTGTGTAGATAGGGTCTCATGATGTTGAACCCGTGAAGGCCCTTCAGTAACCCATGCTTGTCGTAAGAGGCGATTTACGGGATTAGGTGGTCAGGCTCGCTGACTTGGTTGACACATGTCATCGGTTCCCAATCGCACAGATCAATGCTTATGCTGTTGATCACTGGATTTTCTGGTCCAGACTCTATTATTTACAGAACGCCACCATATAGCTGGAATATTGCTGAGTGCGGCGTAAAACTAAACTCACTCACTTTCACTCATGCTGTTGATCACTGGATTGTCTAGTCCAGACTCAATTATATACAGACTGCTGTCATATAGCTGGAATATTGCTGAGTGTGGCATTAAACAACAAACAAATATACAAAATCTTGATTTTTCTGTACAGTTACAAGCTGTTGGCAAGGAGATAGATGACATCGGCAGTGAAAGACTCGGAAAACTCATGGAAAAAGTCCGGACGAAGATAGTGAATAATGGGTGAGACTTGTCTTGAATTAGCTGGCTCTTGGGAGCCAAATGTCACTGAGTTTCATTTAGGAGAAAAACATCATGTGTTGGCCAATTTCCGGGTGTTATTGAGTATTTGAAGCGTGGGAATTCATTTGGAACCGACAGCGTTGAGGTTTCAAATGAAATATTTCTGTGCTTCAAATACTCAATAAGACCTGGAAATTGGCCAACACATGATGTTTATCGACATTGTAAACACAAAAGTAAACCAAAAGGCCCACATGGGTTTTACTGTCTGCACTCACTGACATCGAGTACGGGTACAGCAGTGAAGTGTCATCAGCTGGCCGTTTCAGCTGGTTACCATGGTAGCATCTGGAACTGCTCATTTGTGACATCATTCCGACTTTACGTCACAATATGATTTGAATGACGTCACCACTGCTGACGACGCAACAATACAATGGTGTGCGATATTTGTAAGTGTCAATACGCAGTGAATAGTCTTGCAATTTCCGGGCATCGAATACCATTCGATCATGTTTTTGAACCAATTTAGATTAAAAAACACGGTGACTATTGGTTTACAATTTAGCCTAGAAGTGAGTGAGTGGGTTTAGTTTTACGTTGCTTTTGGCAATATTCACCATTGTACCCACGTGGGAAATCGAACCTGGGTCTTCCACAAGACGAGCAAACACATTAACCATTAGTCTACCCCACCGCCCCTTTTTAGGCTAAGATAAGATGAGATAATTCTTTATTACCCCAGAGGTATATGACATGATGAAACAGACAGCATGATACATACAGACATACAAACATAGACAATAATATTTAAGACATAAATGTAATAAGTTTTATATCACTTTCATGTGAAATACTTTAATTTCATTGGTCAATGACGCTTTAACAGGAGGGTGACAACTGGAAAAAATATTACCCGCTGTCACGGTAACCACTAAACTCTCCGCCGAGAAGCTGTATCACTAACAATCGTATGATGTCATAATATGATGCATGCAGTACCCGAAGTTTGAAAACCGTTTGATTAGCTGTTTTTGAGTTCACAATGTACACATTTAGTTTACCGACTTTCACTGCTTTATTTCATATATTGAATCATTTGCACACTCAACTTTAACATAATTAACCATTTTTATAGCAGTTTTAAGCTTGTCAGAATATGTTTCACTGATTTTAAAAATCCAGTCGAGAGGCAGACGCCATTTGGTTTACATGTCATATAGTCGGTAGCGCTCTTTAAAATAAAATAAAAAATGATATTTTGTACATTTAATTACATGGCCGTAAGATAAATATGTTGTATGCTTCTCCCTCAGCTAGTACGGTCTGATGTACGCCTTTTTGTAGCAGTGTTATCTCTCGCCTACCGGCTCGGGTGACACTGCTACAAAGAGGCATACATAAGACCGTATATTACCCTCGAGAGAAACATACAATTTATAATGACCATAACTACAAGCCTAACACAACAGATAACAAAATCTTTAAGATTGCCTTAAAAGAGATATACCAACAGGAATAAAAGATTGCTTTGCTCTCTTAGATTTAACATTGGTAATAAGATATCTACAACCAGAGGGTAAAAGCTTATAATAAGAGTTTAAAACATGAGATAGGCCATTTAAAATTTCTGAGGTTAAGATTGAAAGTAGTTGAAATGTATGGAGTTTGTAAAATTCCAAAATAAGAAGAAGCTATTTTCCCTGCAACTTTCACACCTCTATTCAGCTTGTAACCATGGTAACACTTCTGTGAAGCTGTCACACTAGTTAAAAATCTCACCTACATACTTATTGCTGTCTCTTCAAGTCAATTAAAGCATCAGTCATCATCAGTGGTAGTTTCATTGTTTCACGCCAACAGAAATGGAATCATTGCCATGGTTACAAGCAGTACAAGGTTCTGGGCTTGGGTCATAAAACAAAGGTTTTGTTATTCTGTATAGGTGAGTGAGTGAGTGAGTTTAGTTTTACGCCGCCCTCAGCAATATTCCAGCTATATGGCGGCGGTCTGTAAATAGTCGAGTCTGGACCAGACAATCCAGTGATCAACAGCATGAGCATCGATCTGCGCAGTTGGGAACCGATGACATGTGTCAACCAAGTCAGCGAGTCTGACCACCCGATCCCGTTAGTCGCCTCTTACGACAATCGGGGTTACTGAGGATCAATATTCTAACCCGGACCTTCACAGGGTCTTATAGATTTAGGACAGTCTTGGCATAAAGATGGCAGATTCGTAGAACAGGGCTTTGGACTGGTTAATGTAAAAAATAATTATCCTCTGACTTTCAAATATCTCTATGTTTAAGAAAATGTGAACTTATTGAAAACAAATGAAATTTGTCCAATTTGCCGGCCAAGGGTACTTAGTACATCGGCATCAAAAACACTATGAGGCAAACATAATATGTATCATAAATACAAATATATATTTATGTATGCAATAACAATTCCGCAGTTGATGTATCATTTATTATTATCCCCCGCAACAACGAAGTTGTGGGGGATATAGAAACGAGTTCCGCCTGTCCGTCCGTGCGTGCATCCGTCACACTTTGTCCGAAGCATATCTCCCAAACTATTGGCGATAGCTTAACCAAACTTGGTACACGGGTCAACCATGATCCCCAGATGTGCCTTTAGGGGGTTAGACCCAGATGCAAATTTTATTTTTTGTGGTTTCCATGGAAACGGGACTTAGGCTGTGGCTACGAGGATTTCATCTTGTCCGGAGCAGATCTCCTAAACTATACGTGCTAGCTTCATCAGACTTGGTACACATGTCAAGCATGATCCCTAGATGTGCCTTTTGGGGTTTAGACCCAGATATGAATTTTATATGTATTCAGCGGCGTCTGTACGTCCGTCCGTACGTCCGTCCGCGCTTCCGTACGTACGTCCCGATTCTTGTTAACGCCATATCTCATGAACTGTTGCACCCAATGTCTTCAAATTTGGTGACAGCCTACATTGGGGGATTATGCAGACACCAGTCGAATTGGGTGACCTTGACCTTATTTTCAAGGTCACCACGACACTTTGACCACTTTTCTAACTCTTGTTAACGCGATATCTCATGAACTGTTGTACCCAATGTCTTCAAATTTGGTGACAGCCTACATTGGGGGATTACGCAGACACCAGTCGATTTGGGTGACCTTGACCTTATTTTCAAGGTCACCATGACACTGACCACTTTTCAAACTGTTGTTAACGTGATATCTCATGCACTGTTGTACCAAGTGTCTTCAAATTTGGTGACAGCCTACATTGGGGGATTACACAGACACCACTGTATTTAGGTGACCTTGACCTTATTGTCAAGGTCACCACGACACTTTGAACACTTTGTAAACTCTTCTTAACACAGCATCTCATCGACTGTTGTTCCCAATGTCTTCAAATTTGGTGACAGCCTACATTGGGGGATTACGCAGACACCAGTTGATTTGGGGTGACCTTGACCTTATTTTCAAGGTCACCACGACACTTAGAACACTTTATAAACTCTTGTAAACGCGATATCTCATGGACTGTTGTACCCAATGTCATCACATTTGGTGACAGTTTACATTGGGGTATTACACAGACACCAGTTTATTTGGGTGACCTTGACCTTATCTTCAAGGTCACCACGATACTTTGACCGCTTTTTAAAAGCGATATCTCATAAAACATTGCACCCAATGTTTTCACGTATGTTGACAGCCTACATTGGGTGATTATGCAGACACCAGTCATTTCAGGCATCTTGTATGTGACCCAAAAATAAAAAGTAGTAAATATAGATATTCCATTCTTTTAGCGGCGGGGGACATTGCCACATCAGTGGCAAACACTTGTTTTTGTGGTTTCCATGGAAACGTGACTTAGGCTGTGACTATGAGGATGTCATCTTGTTGCATTTCCATGGCAACAAGTTAGGCTTCAACTGAATTTGGTGGTAGTGCTCCTCTCTGGAGCAGATCTTAAAAACCTTTCAATTCTCTCCTTCCACTTTGTTGTATACACTCCAAAACATTTGACATAATCATAATTAGTAGACATTCATAAAGAGTATTTTGCCGTTGCGGGGGATATTGATGACTTTGTCTTCTTGTTCTAAGTGGAATGTGTTTTTTAATTTACAGCACATCACCACGAATACGGTGTACTCTCCTTGAAGTCCTGGAATGTTACTGTCGGAGGTTTGAGGAACCTCCAAATGACGTCACTCGTTTCTATTGCGACACAATGGCTGATATTCTGTCTGGAATGGTTGTTTGATCAAAGAATTGCTCATATCATTCACGGTTTTATCATTCGGTTTTATCATTCACGGTTTTATCATTCACGGTTTTATCATTCACTGTTTTATCATCAGTTTGATCATTCACGTTTGATCATTCACTGTTTTTATCATTCACTCTTTTAGCCTTCACCAACATCAATCGCTTTATCGATTTTTATGAGCAAGTAAAAGCAGTTCAACTGTCAGTTTCATCTTAAATAATTTGTTTAAAATTTTTAGCTTTGTTTCAGCCATTGGGATGAGGTATATATAGATGCAAAGAGTGAACCATTCATTTTGATAGAAGTGTCAGTGTTTCTCATTTACACTCAATGTCGGGAAGCTGACATGGATAAGTTGGAATGAGTGAGGCACTATGGTTTTTATGCCTCTTTAAACAATGTGTGACAATATCACATCCAGGGATCCCATAAATGTGCTGCAGACATGGGACCCTCATCCAGAGATGTAGTACAGGGTTTTCACAGGCTTGAAAAAGCCTGAAATATGGACATTTTATCCCAAAAGGCCCTAAATTTGTTTTAACCTTGAAAACGGCCTTATTTGCCAGTGATTTGGCCTATAATGGACATATATTTAGCTATACTTGTCAAGTTATGATTTTAGCAGGTTCTAATACATGATAAAAATACCTTGAAATGAGTGATAATGAATTTCCATCGCGAAGCAAAACTTTCCCAGTGCAGCGACGTATCTAAGACTTATTTCCGTCTGATGGTCGGTGCCACATTTGACCAACCTTGTGTGTATTCAACTACCTATGTGTTATCTATGTGTTTCTATAGTTCATTAAAATTGTTAATTGGGCCTTGAAAGCCCCTAAAAAGGCCTTAAATTTGATGACTGATAATATACTGAGGGAAAAAAATAAGGGATCACATGAAAGCACAAGTGTTCCTTTTTTTTTTTCCAAGGTTTCTTCACAAGCTTCCTATCGCATTGCTTGTGAAGAAACCTGGAAAAAAATAAAGGAACATGTGTGCTTTCATGTGGTCCCTTATTATTTTCCCTCAGTATATGTATATACATGCTTTTAGGTTTTCGGAGGACAAAAATCCGTAAAACAAGAAATAAAATTGGTCTGGCCTAATTACCCTATTGATAAATGTCTTGAAACATAAACTCACTCGCTCCACCAGAATCAAATGTGGGCAGGGTGTTTTTTCACAAAGGCTGAAGGCTGTTTCCTTTCCTAGTTTGCAATCACTGGGTTTAAATTTACAAAGTTTAATTTCTTAATTTTAAAGTTCATTTCAAGCTTATCCACTTCTCTGTGTCCAGTATCTCCTTGGTAAGACATTTGTTTTATGTTCATGTTTTTAAAGTAAGCTAGGGTTTAGATGTGTTTGTTTCAAAGTACAATGTATCTGGATACATTTTATAAATAAAAGTCTTTCTGGACACCAGTTCCACAAAGAGATCTTAGCGCTATCCGTGACTATCGTAAACCTAAGTTAAAGTATGGGAGTTACGATCATCTTATTGCTAAGATTACTTTGTGGAACTGAGCCCAGATATACCCTTTTGAGCCTTGAATGGTCAAGATGTTGACCAGTCATTGGGGTGGAGTTAGCATAAGAGGTCTTTAATGCACAGATGTACATAAACTAATATCCTTCCCCCAACGCTTGACAAATTAATTGATGAGTGAGTGAGTTAAGTCTTACGCCGCACTCAGCAATATTCCAGCTATATGGCGGCAGTCTGTAAATATTCGAGTCTGAACCAGATAATTCAGTGATCAACAGCATGAGCATCGATCTACGCAATTGGGAACCGATGATGTGTGGGTCAACCAAGTCAGCGAGCCTGACCACCCGATTCCTTCAGTCGCCTCTTACGACAACCGTGGGTTACTGAAGATGTATTCTAACCCGGATCCTCACGGGTTAATTAAATGGATGATGCTCTCATGTTCTTGTACTTTTAGATCCTCTCCTTAAAGATGAAATGCAAAAGAATGATATATTTTACACTTAATTTGTACCCACACCAAGAGACTTTCATATTTCACAAACAACCATACCACCCCAACCCCACCACCCCCCACCTCCCCATGGTAAATGTCTGGCTCCTAAGTTGTGTTTAAAAATATTTATTTCTTGGGAACCAATTCCTTGTGTCAGTTTCCATAGTGATGAATTTCTTTTCTTGTTTCCATGACAACACTAGTCTGGTCATTATAGTTGTCGAAAAGTATCTTTTAATGACCTTTCATGCTTTGTGTTTTTCCATGGGGATAATTTATTGATTCCTTTAAACATTTGTTTGTTTCTCTGTTTGTAAATGTTTGTGATATATGTATATTAAGAGATGTTGCCACAGAGGCTTTTATGCTTTTATGTAGTATTTTAAACAAATACATTAGTTTATGATGATGTTTTCTGACAGGGTTCCCACAGGCATGGCAGGCCAAAATTCCCTGACTTTTTTTTTTTTTTTCAAAAAAAATAATAAAAAAAAAATAAAAAAAAAAAAAAAAAAAATTCCCTGACTTTCCCCTGACTTTTCCCTGACAAGTACAGATTTTTCCCTGACCATTCAAGTGTAAAAACTGGCCTCCTTCCTCCATTTCAGTCAGTCCTAACCACCGTGTTAAGATATTTCCTTCACAAATATCATAAATACACACAGTATTTGTTAATTTATTACATTAACCAAAACATTGATATTTGTGATGAAGAATTTTTTCCTAGACTCTCCTGCCACAATGTCACATATTACTGTTAGTTACATGTGACTGTGACCATCAAATATATATTCTAAGGTGAAATCAGTAATATATCATCAGAAAACTTTGTAATTTTATATTAAAGGCTTTTGACAAAGAGCATAAATGTGAAACTAATGATTTAATTGAATTGTTTCATCAAAGTCAGGAACACATTTCTTCATTATCACAAAATGTTGAAATTATCAATGGCGTATTTGGAAAGAATATATATGCAAGATATAACTTTACATTCAGTACTACCATGACAACTAGATTATGAACACCATTCAACCACTTTTAATTTTGTGAATAAACAGCAAATGTCAGAACATTGGGCATATTATAAACCTATGCTGTACTTTAACAATGAAACTTATATGGGTATTTTTGGCCAAAATGGGCTTTCACAATTAGCAAGAAACCACCATAGCCATCATACTATTTATAATATTTTGGAACGGTATACAAATGAATGGAAAATTATCTGTTAAACATGCTGTTATGTTAAAAAGCATCTCTTATCTGAACTGTAATTTATTTCATGAAATGTCTGTAACATGTGCTGCATCTTTGACTTTGACTACTACCATACCTGATTAGCGACATTCTGAGTCTTATTTTTCCCTGACCAAAACCCTAAATTTCCCTGACGTAAACCCAAAATTCCCTGACTATTCCCTGACTTTTGAAAACATATCAAAATTCCCTGACTTTTCCCTGACTTTCAGAGAAATACCAAATTTCCCTGACTTTTCCCTGACTTTTGAAAACAGATCAAAATTCCTTGACTTTTCCCTGACTTTCAGAGAAATACCAAATTTCCCTGACTTTTCCCTGACCTGTGGGAGCCCTGTCTGATGTTCATGATATGTGTTCATGTGATCAATTTCATCATTTCATCATGGGACTCACGTGATTATAGGTAGGCTTACAGGCAGCTTGTATTCTCCCCAGGGAGTTGAGACCGAAAATCATATGAACACTGATCTATTGACAGGAAATAATTGTTCGCTTTGAGCTTGGTATAGGGTGTGGGTTTGGTGCATCAATCTTAATAATATTGTTATATTTTGTCACAAAACCTTCCCCAGTTGGGATTTCAGGTTTAGAACAGGTATGCAGGTACTAAACTTAGTGAATCCGATGGTTAATCTGACCTCTGCTGAATTGGACGTTGCTCTCTGCATCCGCCACTGGTTTGTCAATGGTGTAAATAATGTCTTGAGCGAAAAAAAAGTCACAAATAATTTTTTTCATTTTCTTCCTTTAAACCAAACAAACCCAGCTCGTTGGTGGGAAAACGTGCAAACCACAACCCACCACCTCAACATTTAGCTCACCTAAAGCGAAAGTTTATGTTTGACATCTCTTACATGAAATGGAGTCCCATGGTTATGATCAGTCTTTGGCCTTTGTTATTGATTATGATGATTAATTCACTTTAATGATTAATTTTGATCAACAGTGATGATCAATAATTAAACTTTGTGAATAATTATGTCCAACTTTAGAGCATTGTGTTCTAGAGGAACCCAAACTACGAACCTATGTAATGTAATGTATTATCTATGCCAGCTGAAATACACCAGTATGAAGAAGAGAGAAGTATATTTTGTGACTGTTAGATTTGCTTTGATACATAGCAGTGTAAATAAGTTTTAAATCACAAATAAATTTATAGTAAAATATTACAGTGATGTTTGTGATTTATATATACACATTGGTGATCCCAGTGACCTTTGATTGTTGCACTGGGAGTGAGTGAGATTAGTTTTATGCCACACTCAGCAATATAACAGCTGTATGGCGGCAGTCTGTAAGCAATGGAGTCTGGACCAGGCAATCCAGTGATCAACAGCATCATAGGCGGATCCAGTAGGGGGGCGCAGGGGTGCACATTTTCTGATAATCGAACTTAAACGATTTTGGAGCTACTGTTTTAGTCTTTGAAATACTTGACAATGGAACATATCTTAGAAGTTGTCAGGGCCTGGAAACATGTTTATTTCTTAGAAAACTCACTTCACCAACTGAAAAGTCATGACTGAATATTTCTCTAAGACTCCAGGAAGTTTATGTTCATGATATATTAGTCATCACTTTAAAGTAACAAGTTGCATCATGTTATACTTTTCTGCAATAACAAGCTGGATAGGAAAATCTGAAAAATGACGCTAACCAATTTTTTTCGATGATTGTTCGTTGGTAATGAAGCAATCATCGATTGTGAGATTTCAACCAATTCCCAACACTAGTGTCAACCAAGTCAGCGAGAGGAACCACCGATCCCGTTAGTGGCCTTATACAACAAGCATGGGTTACTGAAGATCAATTCTAACCCGGATCTTCACGGGTTTGCTGCATTGTGGGATGCTGGGTGAAAACTGGTTCATTGTATCCTTTGATGGTTGTTAGTGGCAACTTAACATGGTAATGGATAGTGCTGCGCAATATAACCGGTTTACCGGTATTTACCGGTTCAAACATGAAAACGATACGTATTGCGATATGCTGATCGAAAACCGGTATTTTGACATGCATTCGGAAAACTTCGTAACACTCGGAAATCTTCGGATATTTTCGTTTTTTAAGTTGTTCCTTTCCTTGTTTTATTTGTGCCAAATATTATTTACATTTGTTTTTTGTCATGATTAAAAGTTTTTATTAAATCGTAATCAAGCATAGTGATTTTGTTGTGTTTTTTGCTTTATAAATCAAGCATTAACTCGATTATACGTTGTTTTTTGTTGAAAAAACCCTTCTTGCAATATATTGCAATACATATCGCAATATACGCTTTTGCATCGCAATATGGAAATTCTCTGCAATACCCACCCTTAGTAATGGATCATAGGGGCGGTGAGGTAGCCTAGTGGTTAAAGCATTCGCTCGTCACACCGAAGGATCGGGTTTAATTCCCCTCATGGATACAATATGTAAAGGCGATATCTGGTGTCCCCTGCGGTGGTCAGTGATTGGTTTATTACCTTGTTCTTGGATCTGTCTGGTGCTCACCGTTAAAGGGGACAAAACTACGACCAGTTGGCTCAGAGTCGGAATAGGGCCGTAAGTAGGTCACCGCACTTCGCGAGACCTTATTGCTTCCGGTGACAAACAAAGTTTCCTCCCTTTTCGAATGGTCTCATGGTTGTCAGTAGACAGTAAAGAACCGTTAATCCTTGAAGAAATAACAAATTTCCGATTTAACTTAGACTAACTCTTAGCCTCTGAATATATATAGGGGAGACCGGGTCAAAGCGCACCCTTTAAATTTGTAAGGCAAATGTGATAAACCATACAGCGTTAAGAAAGATTCTTAGAGGTCTACCAGAGAAACTGGTTATCAATATTTAAATTAACCAGTTCATTTCCTTCACGTAACAATAGTTTTTAGTTTAGAACGTAAAATGTTTTTTTCAAACATTGGTCACTAAAGTACCGGGCGGTGGGGTAGCCTAGTGGTAAAAGCGTTCGCTCGTCACGCCGAAAACCCGGGTTCGATTCCCCACATGGGCACAATGTGTGAAGCCCATTTGTGGTGTCCCCCGCCGTGATATTGCTGGAATATTGCTAAAAGCGGCGTAAAACCAAACTCACTCACTCACTAAAGTACCCTTCAGTGCGCACTTTACCCCATGTTGCACATAAAGGAAAAGGACCGCCTCCGTGGTATAGTGGTTAGAGCGTCCGCCCGGAGAGCGGAAGGTCGCGGGTTCGATCCCCGACCCCGTCATACCAAAAGACGTTAAAATATAGTACTTGTTGGTCCCTGCCTGGCGCTCGGCATTAATGGGTACAACAAGGACTGGTCGGCTCGGAGTCAGTATAATGTGTCTGAGTGGGGTATTCATGCTTCACTGCCGCGTGGTATCTCAATGGGCTAGCATTATAAAACCAGCTTCAGTCTGGGCTAGTATAAGCAGCCGCACATACACACGCATGCTCTTCGTCATATGAGCGAAATATTCTCAAGCACGACGTAAAACCCAATTTCACCTCACCTCACCTCACATAAAAGAAAGGACATGTTAAAAAA